GGTCAATGTGCTTTTATGGTGGAAGAGATATGACTGAGTCAGAGAGGCATTAATCCTCTATGACACCTTTCAGCTTTCTTCTATTTTGTAACAATGTGGTAACGCTTTTGTTAACCCACACTCCTTAAAATCCTCCAAAGTCTCCTCTATGTCTTCAGAATAAAATCTAAATTATTTCCATTATCTTGCCCAAGGAATACTCCATCCTCATGGATAACTGCTCTCCCTCACCCATATTTGGAGCATAAGCAGGTAACCCATCTTGTTCTTTTTTGCCTCCTTGTCTTGATGCACTATTGTGCTCAGGGCTCTAAAGTCAATGTCCTATGACATTCAAGTGCAGCTTTTTCTTATCCTTCAAACCTTCCTATAGATATCACCTTCCCCAGAGTGTATTACCCAAACCACCAATGTGGTTTGTGTTTCCTGTTTCTATCATAGAGCTTATTCTTATATTGAAATTATTTAGCTTTCTGTCTTGTTCACTAGGCTCACCATAGATTCCCAGAAAAGAAATGTATCTTATTCAGCTTGAGATACATAGTAGCTAACACAGTACCTTGCATGTACTGGGCACTCAATATATATGTTCAATGAATAAATAATTAATATTTACAGAGAGGGAACACAAATATGCAGAAAATTGACATTTGATGAAGGAGCAAATGGCACCAGTCTTGCCTAACCCATCAGAATCCAGGACTGATTCAGAATCAATAGAGCATCTTTAGTTCTATAGCCTTTGCATTTTACTACCCATTGCTTTCCTCTAGAACCTCAACCATTTGCAAATAACTAAGCAATTTAATCATTAACCTCAATACAAGATCATGTTTCTTTGCTGAAATTTGATGCAAAAAGCTTAGTGTGACTAACTGGTGTAGTAAGGAAAACACTGGATTTAAGAGTCAGACCATTTGAGCTCTAGTCCCTATTCTATTATTTGACTAATAGTGTGTTACTGGAAAGATTCCCCCAATCAGCCTAAAATAGCTCCCTTTCCTATTTGATCATCCTTAGTAAAGTTGAATTCTTGTTGTTGTTGTTTAAACACATTCTTGTCCAAGTTGGCAATTGAAAGTAGCCAATTGAGCCAGAAAGAACTCAGACTTTATGACAAGCTTAACTCTGAATCCTAACTATACCACCACACAATAACTGGGTGATGCTGGGCAAGTTACTTAACCTCTCTGAGGTAGTTTTCTCATATGTAAAGATACTAATAATTTCCTCTTGAGTTATTGTAAAACTTAGATGAGATACGGAATGAAAAAAAAATACTTATAGATTTTTCAAATACCAAATAAGATTGTTGTCATTATTCTTGTTTGGGCAGGTTTAATAATGGTATAGAACAATGTTTCTCAGAGGCTTTGTATTCCACATAATTACAAACATATTTAATAGATGTTACCTCAAAAATTATTGACAACTGCACATGAGCACTAAGAAGTCATGCTATAAGAAAAGTGTTTAACTTTTTGATCTATCATTTTCCCTAATTATTTGAACATGGGATACCCTTTAATAGCAAGGGTAGAATAGCAAGCTCAGTAAGAGTCTTTATTTATCACCTTTCACTATAGAGATCCTCAAAGAAAAACCAAGATACCAAAAATGGAGAAAACCCTCCTGACTCTGCATCCATTAATGGGCTTATTCTTTACAGTGTTCATATTTCCTAGAAAAAAATAAATAAATAGGTACATATATACATAGGAAAATTTCAGATAGAATTGCGAGAGTAAATTTGATAAATATTGAAGGAAAAAGACATTTAGAAACAACTTGTCATGGGCATGGGGGCTAAAAACTGTCCTACTTGGGCATTTCTGATCCCCACTGGCTAAACTTCACTCTTAGTAATTTCTGGAATCATATGAAAAGATAAATAAAGAAACACAGCTTCTAATTCATTTGCAGGCACAGATCAGTTAAAGTCATAATTGCTCTTTTTACATGACAGCAGAAGTTCACTTCATTATTTCAAATGGCTCTTTCTCAGTATTACCTCCTGTGACTTTAAAAGCTGCCATTAATTTCCCATTAGTGAACTTTAATTAAAATGAATATGTATCATTGCTTTCAGCAGTTGCATTTGTAATACATGGAAAAATACATGCAAATGTTGCCCACAAAGTTACAAATGGCTCATTTCTGTACAAGCAAACACTTTGATGTTATTTCAAAAGATTTTATCCACAGAAAGCTTTTAGAATCTAACCTTTCCCTAAAAGAACTAGAATTTTATGTAAATACAATGAACAGTTACCAACCTAGTTAAAATCTATTTTATTGATCCCAGAAAGTAGCATGTTAAAACATGAATAATGACCTCTGAGCTTTGAACCCACTCAGTACCTTGGTGTTTCTGCAATATTTGTGCAGTGCGTTGAAAAGGAAAGCTAGAAGGGGCAGAAGAATACGTCTAATCGAAGGTCTCATAGTGGTCTAAGATGTTGGACTATGTCTAATACAATAATCTGAGATGAGTCACATTTCACCAGCTTATCATCAAAGATGCTTCTACCCCAAAGTTTCCATTCAAATGTTCAACACTCAGAAAAATTGGAACATATTAGAATGTATCTGAACGTTAAATATCATAAGCTTTCTTATCCCTTTACAATTTCTTTTATTAGGTCAAAAAATTTTATAAACATTATTTATAAAGAGAAAATGAGGCTGATTAGTCTTAGATTATGCTTGCATCAAGTTACCCTGGAATCCCCAAAATATGTCAGCCGGAATCCCCAAAATATGTCAGCCAGAATCCAAGAGCAGTTAAAGGAGATGATAATTCAGGTTTCCATACTAAACACATCATTCTGAAAATGTTCACAAACATCTGATAATATTTCTAATAATAATACTTCTGCCTTTAATGAAAATACTACAGAAATGCTTAACAAAAAAGGAGCCACATGTTCCTCCAAGGGTTAGGTCACTTAATGCCTTTGGCTGGCAGACTATGGTTTTCTCTCTGCATTCAACCTTACCCTTCCATCGCTTTTCCCCCTTGATATCTATTCTGTAAGTACAATTGGTCCAGTAGCTGTGGTCTCCCTAAGATGTTTGTAGGCCTTTATCTTTTCCTATTTCCCATTTTCTGCATATTACTTCCTGAGAAAACTGAGCATCATTTCTCATTTTTAGAAGAGTCAGTACATACAACATAAAGCAAAGTATTCATTGGCAGAATTTGGTAGATTTTCAACATGTATCGATGTGTAGGAAAAATTCATAGTTTTTAATTAATAGAACTGAGAAGTGCTTGCATTATACTGTATGTTTGTATATCGAGAAACTTTAAAGGCAACTTTAAAAGGAATCTTGCATAAAGTTTGAAAAAGTTAACAAATGAAATTGTAAGCCTCATTTACCACATTATCAGATTAAAATGCTAATCATCTGCATAGCAGTCATAAATAATTTCAGTAATTAAATCAAGGGTTCTAGTTCTTCATCATACATTAAGAAGAGCATCAAGCTATAAGCCTTCCCAACAGACATCTATGGAAAATAGAGCTATCACATTTAACCTACATTCCAAGAGTCCTGTGACTGCAAAATATAGATGTTTCCAATGTCAATCTGTCTGACTGCATAACATACATCACTTTTCCAGAAAGTATCTGCTTAAATTTTTTTTTTTCACAATGTGGGAAGTCACCATCTCTCGCAATGTTTATTCTGGTTTACAAAGTACTGGTCCTAAGAAGGTGGTGAAACCATCACACTTGCTGTTCTCAGATGAAAATGCTTCTGTTCATAATAAACCAAAAGAAGTGTGTGTTCCATTCCACAAACCCTGAGTTGTTTTCAAGCAGGTACTTTGGTATAGTTAATGACTTACATTTTATCACAAAAACACATAAAAATAAAATTTAAGAAGAACACTAGATTAGCAGAGTGCTGTCCCATATTGGTACACTTTCTAGGAAGTTTTCACATGTTACTTATACTATAGATTTACTAACTCATTCTAAAACCATAAAAGCTCTGGATGTTAGCATCTATATAATTCCACATACTTAACTTTTGGAGATATTCAAGACTGTTTTCAAAACCTACTAAAACAAAAGTCAAAAGAACACATTCCTGAGCATTCTGTTACAATATCCATAAATCAATGGAATGGTTGATATGCCCCTGTCTAACAAGTTTAGGCTTGTATTCAAGTTTGCGTTTGGAAGTGATATATATATATCATATCACATCTAAGAAGATCTGGTAGATCAGATACTAAGTAGCAAAGCAGCCAGTGAAGATACCAAGTACAATTAAAGTTTATAGGACACACCAAGGGTTCTCATTCACATGAAAAAAAAAAAAAAAACAGATGTGGGGATATTGCAAGATAATCAGAAGGTGCAACAGATAAGTAAGTCTGGGCCTGCAAAATGTACTTACTCATGCTTGGAGATATATGTATGCTTCTATATGACAAGTTAAGTGCCTTTTTTGTGCTTTACTTTTAGTACTTCTCTAGCAGTGGTCATTAAAATGTGGCTACTTTTGATTGATGTGTACAACTCCCATCTAAACAGAATTGGTATTTTTTCCAAAGGAACAACAACAACAACAAAAAATCCTGATTGCAACATTGACATCAAATTCAACATAATGAAAACATTTTAAAAGACCTGACCAGAATCCTCTGCTATTCACTGAAAATGGGGAGGGGGAAGGTTGTAGCATATGAAGAGAGAGAAGCAAGTGAGGCAGTGGGAAGACATTAGGGATGAGGTGATTAAAACCACTTTGCTGCCCTTCCTTGGTTTCTCACTCCCCTCCCACTCTAGGCTGATTTTAAAAATTCTTAAAACTACAAGCCCCATTGAAACACACACACATGAACACACACAACAACAGCAACTGAAAGAGTGTGACTAGGGTAACCATCACAACAATCCTGAACGATTTTCGTGCAAAAGCAAAGCAGTGAGGATGTAGTAGCAGCAGTGACTCTCCCTTGTCCCCCACCCCTGATACGGTACCTCCAGATTTGCCCGAGCTGCAAGATGTGGATGAGTGACTGCAGGAGCCAGATGCAGAAGGAGCAGGACGCAGACCTGTGTTTGCCGCTGGCCCGGGTGGCCCCGCTGCTGTTGCTGTTAGTGGCGGTGATGTTGCTTTTGCTGGCGTTGGATGCTTGTCTTTGCGGCGTGGAAGGACGAGCCTCGCCTTCCCCAGCTGCAGACCCACCGCTGACCACCGTCTTGCAATCGGCTCCAGACTGCGGGCAGCTGGAGGCAGCGGCCGTGGTGCTGTCCTCGGTGCTGAAATCGTGTACAAACCAGCGGAAGCTGAACACTTGCACTGAGAGAGAGCCGAGCACCACGAAGAAGAGCGTGAGCCCGAACCACCAGCGCTGGCCGCGCAGGTAGTAGTCCACGGCGAGCCAGATGTCCGTGCCCACGTCCGCGAAGTACACGGCCACCGCGGCCAGGATCCAGAGGCAGTCCCACAGCGAGTAGCGCCGCTGCTCCCTGCCCAGGCGCAGGCACAGCGCCGCCGAGCCCGCCCCGCTGCCTCCACCCGGGCCGCCAGCGCCGCCGCCCGAGCCGCCTGAGCCCCCAGAGCCACCGCTCCCGGAGCAGCAGCAGCAGCAGCGCGAGCAGCCGCTGCCGTCCGGGCAGCAGCCTCCCCCGGCTGCCTCCTCGTCCTCGGCTCCGGACCCCGACGGCAAGCCTGGAGCCAATGCCTGCACCGAGCCCGAGTGGTCCGAGTTCTGCAGCGGGGTGAATGCCACGTCGCTGCTCTTCTTCATTTTCAGCCTCCCGTCTGACTTAGCGGCCATGATGCCTCCAAACCGAAGGAGAGCCCTCCTTTATCTGACACCTTTCCCCGCTGTCTCCTCCTCCCGCCACCTCCTCTGCTCACCCCGGCTACCCTCCCAGGCGGCGCGGCTCTCCCTCCTCCTGCTCCTGCGCCGGCTCGCCTGCCGCCCGCCGCCGCCCGCCGGGCTGGGCGCTGGGCCGGGCTAGCGGCGCGCCTCCGGCCGGCAGGAGCGCCGCCTGGCTGCCTGCGCGGAGCCAAGCTGCTCACGGCGCCCCGCGCGCGCCCCTGCCCGCCGCCTCCTCTCCTCGCCGTCCTGGCCCCGCGGCTGCCGCCCGAGCCGCCACCGCCGCCAGCAGCAGGAGCAGCAGCGGCCGCCGCGGCGCTCCTCGGACCTGCACATTCCTCTCCTCCCCTCACGCGCGCTCCCTCCTCCCGCTTCCTCTCCTCCACCAGCTGACTCCGAGGGAGAGGATGACCTCATCCCTTCCCTTCCAGCTGCCGCCGCTCCCACCCCGACTCGGGAGGGGCGAGGGAGGAGGAGGGCCCCGGAGGAGGGGCCGGGACGGAGAGGAGCGGCAGTCGGGTGGGGGGGACTGGTCTGGATGGTCCCCGGGGCACGGAGCCACAGCGAGGTGCGAGAGGGAGTCGGTGGAAGGCCCCGGCTCGCGGGATTTTGGAGAACACTGGGTGGATTTGATCGACTTCGGGGGAGGGGTAGGAGCGTGAAGAGTGGAGGGGTCCTCTGGTCCAGCCAGTGCAGAGGACGAAGAGTGGGCACGGACGGGCGTGGCAGTGGCGAGGGGCCAGGAGGTGCAGGTCTCTTTGTGTTCCAAGCCCTGGCACTTGGGAGACGGGCTAGATGTGGGACTGGAGCTAGCGAGGGTTAAGAGAACAGGTTTAACTCGGATGCTTGGTTCCCCAAACGCTGGCAGCCCTAGTTGGCATGTCAGGCTTTGCAGTTTGTGGGAGGATAAAGGCGTGCAGGGACTGAGGAAATAGCCGGGATTCGCCTGAGAGGCGACAGGCAGCCGGGACCGATGGGAACCCCAAGCCCGCGCCCTCGGGGAAAGGAGCGGGCAGCAGAGGGCTCTGGGCTTCTCTTGCCAGCGGGACGCCTAGGCTCTGGGAAGTGAAAAGGCGCTCCGGGATCCGCAGCGCAGACCCAAGCTGCCGGATTCCTGCTGCTGGGAAGCAGTGGAGCCGTCAGGAGCCACCGCCAGGCAGGTGGGAAACGCGCACCCCTGGTGGAAGCTCGGAGCGCGGCTGGGCAAAGGGGCGCGGCTGGCAACAGCGGGAAACCCGGTGTCAGCCCCGCCCCCGGCCCACAGGCAGGGAATGGCGGAGCTGGAAGCAGGCGCCACCTCCACTACTCCAAAACTAGAATCACCTTGTCTTAAAGCTATAAGGGTGCGGACTAACCTTGTGGTCTCACAACTCTAGAAATGACTCAAATTAATGTAATCTGTGATCCGAGCGGTACACCAAATTAGATATTAGAATAACGTGTTACGGTATTTAAAGATTATGAAAACCCCAATAAAATATAGAATCTTCGACTTTTTAAATAATAATAAAATATAGTAGGTTATGAGTTGTCCCACTTCACTTTTGCAAATGGGAGGGAGAGAAGTATGCAATCCTTAAATTATACTGTACCTCACATACTTTAAGACCAGAGGAAACTAAGGTGTTACCCTGCCACTTAGAGGACCAGTTAGTCTTTATAGATCAGTAGGAAAACCATAGCATCCCCAAGCCCATAGCTCCTTTCCTTGAGGTGGGCGCCAGGTGAGTTGCCTCTGATGCATAATGCCATTCTTAATTAGTAGCATTATGAAGTAGAAGTCCATGAATGAGAAACGGTCACTACAGGGCTGGGGTTGCGGCTCAGTGGTAGAGCACTCGCCTAGCACGTGCGAGGCCCTGGGTTCAATCCTCAGCACCACATAAAAACAAATAAAATAAAGGTATTGTGTCCAACTACAACTAAAAAAATAAACAAAAAAAAAAAGAGAAAAGAAATGATCACTGCATACATCTTGTGCTGTATCTCATCTGCTATTTTAGTGATCAATCTTGACAAAACAGAATTTTTGCTCCACCCTTTATCCTCAAGACTGGTGCCCAGGGCCCAGTCTTCACCTTTCATTCTGATAGAGGGTGTTGGGCCACAAAGCCCATAAATAATTGCATGGGATGTACAAATCCATTATTGCTAGCAAAAGGCAGGGGCAAGTGATTGCTGAGAGACAACACAATACTACTGAGCCACTTAGATGCCAGACAGAAGGTTATATATTTGAATCCAGCTTTAAATTTGGGCCCTCTTGGATTAGGAAAACCCTTTTTTTGGAAAACACCCTGGTTATATTTCCCAAGTGTTCAAGTCTAAGATTCCATCTCCAGAGCACTGCCGATGATGATGCTCTGCCAAACCATCAGGGAGATGAATGATCTCTTAGGTAACTGGGTCCACGGAGACAAGAGTGTATTCTAGGTCAAGTGCAATGCCTTAAGTTGCACTGGGCATGGAAAGGTTCAGTACAGCATTGGAGGTGCTGAACACTGCAGCAGATTTGAGAGTTTTCTTGGAGCTGGGATTTTTGTTGTGGTTGTTGTATCTTCTACACCTAGCACAGCACTTGCACAACCTACTTGTTCAATAAACGTTAGTGAAGTGAATGCATGAATTTATAGAAAGAACATTCCATGACAGAATACTACACTCTGTGCTAACGAATGTTCCCATGGAAACATAGGAATTATGAGACTTTTCCTGTTAGCTTCTAAAAAGAAATAACTAGTAATGGTTTCCTTATTAATACATTGATTCAAAACCTCTTAGAATCTCTTTAAATTTTGTCTGACACATCTTGGGAAAGTAATGGCTACCTGTAGTGAGTGGAAAGAGTTTACAAGTAGGAGGTCAGAGGACAGATGAGCTTTCCCCTTCAAGCTCTGCTAATTATTGGCCCCATGATCCAGGCAAATTACTTAATACATAGGATTAATATGAGGATTAGGCAAGATCATGTATATTACTGGGCTTTGTATACAATATTGTTCTCGGGAGTCTCTAATCCCATAAATCTCATAATCGCATCTCAGAACATGGATGTTAATATTATCTGTTCTATTGTAATCACTGCACCTGTCGAGGCAGATGGACCTAAGGGTTAAAAGCTTGACGTCTGGATGCAGACGGAAGAATTCTTGGGCATGTTATTTAACCTCCCTGCCCCACATATTCATCCTTTGTAGAAACATAGATACTAATGATCTTTAGAATTCAGTAATGGTACCAAGGAATAAATAGAAAGATGCATACAAATTCTTTGGGTCCAGCACACTCAATACATCCTATTAATATTCTTTAGTTTCTTTCAGCCACCTCAGGGTTTCTGGCCTATCACTAAACCGTTGTGTTTAACTAGTCAACTTCTAAATTTGGACTCCTCAAAACAGAGCAACTGAACCATTTGCCTCAGAGTCAGTTACTGTTTAATACAGATACTTGATCTATCAATAATGTGATCTCTTCTCTAGTAATCTTCCACACTATGTCAGAAATGTATCACCATTGTCATGAACTAAACCCTATCGTTACTCAGCAGCTTTGACATCTCGTTTTGAGCATCCTACTCTCTGGCAAACCCATCCTCAGTGGTTAAGTCCCTTGTATCTGGATTTCACCTCATTTTTGTTCTCCATAACCCCTCCATGTTCCTGCCTTTCTTCTGGTACAGGGTAAATTCTATGCCCAATCACTTTTAGCATGCATCTTCATCTCTGAAGTCCTTCTTATTTGACAAGATACCACTTAAGTCCACTCTCCACTCCTTCAGGACAGACTCTGTGTAGAGGTTTTGAGAGGAGAAAGGCAGGGTTATTTCAACCCTACTCTTTTGATCATTAACCTGAAGTGAACCCTAAGGCTGCTCAGCAATACAGTCCATCTTCTTCGTCTCTGTTCCTTCCCATTTGTATTATTTCTTATCATATTTTCTCTTCTCAAATTTTAAACTCCTCTTTCTCCTATCCTCAGCTGATGACTCTGTTTTTTATTTCCCTAAGAAAAATGAAACACTCAGAACAGACTGCACCCAGGCTCTCAGTGTCTTCTCTGCCTGTCTACCAGCATTTGTACTCACCTGCTATTCACTAGCTTCTATCCCCTTCCCCACTCTCTCTCTCTGCTCAGGAGCACAATTCCACACTCATTTCTACAATTGCCATTTTTTTTTGCTCTACTAGATTATTCTGATCCAAGTACAAACATACTGCTATGTGTCTACTACTTGAAAAATAAAGAAAAACAAATGTATAAAACTTTTTATTTCAATTCCCTTTCTAGCCACTACAGAATTTTTCTGAATTTTTTTAATAACAAAATTCCTGTTAGTCAGCTTTCTGATGCTGTGACAAAATCCCTGAGATAATCAACTTATAAACAGGAAAGATTTATTTTGGCCCATGCTTTCAAGTCCACTGTTGCTTGGCCCTGTTGCCCTCTGGACCTGTGATAAGACAGGACATCATGGTGAGAACATGTAGAGGAGGAATCTGCTTACCTCATGGCAGCCAGAAAACAGAAGAAGGGGAGAGGAGAGGTGTGGAGGGATATTGGGACCTCAGCAATATCCTAATATGCCCCTCAAAGAAACACCACCAAAGACCTAATTTGCTTCCACTAGGCCCCACCTCTTAAAGGTCAAAAGGATCTCTGCATCCTTAAAAGAATCAAGTCTTTAACATATAGGTCTTTGGGGACACTTTCCAAACCATAGTATTACTTAACATTTTCTTCAATTCCTGTTCTCCATCCTCTCTCTTGAACACACCCAAATAAACCAATAACCACTCCATTCGGATTGTTCTTACCAAGTCACTGGTAGTTCAGCTTTACCAAACATCTCAGTTCTCACCTTACTTACATTCCTAAACAGCATTTGACAGTAGACCATTCCCCTCCCAGTGAAAATTCTTCCCCACCACAGACTCTGGGAATTTTCCCCACTTCCAAACCTACTTCTTTACTACTTCTGGGTCCTTTGCTAGTTTTTCTTCATTTCCCTGCCATTAAACAGGCCCAGTCCTCAAACTTTCTCACTCTTTCAGTAATTTCAGGAAAGACCATTTAAAAAAAAACCCATCTG